GGGATAAAACTGGGATATAACCAGGATAGAAACGGGATACAAGCAGGATAATGGCGGGGATGGAAGCGGGATACAGCCGGGATAACGCCCGGATAGAAGCGGGATAAAACCGGGATAATGCCAGGGGACGGCAGGGATGGGAGCAGGACACAGCTGGGATAACTCCCGGATAGAAATGGGATAAAACTGGGATATAACCAGGATAGAAACGGGATACAAGCAGGATAATGGCGGGGATGGAAGCGGGATACAGCCGGGATAACGCCCGGATAGAAGCGGGATAAAACCGGGATAATGCCAGGGGACGGCAGGGATGGGAGCGGGACACAGCTGGGATAACTCCCGGATAGAAATGGGATAAAACTGGGATACAACCGGGATAATGCTGGGGGATGGCGGGAATAGGAATGGGATACAGCCAGGATAACACCAGGATAGAAATGGGAGAAAACAGGGATAAAACCGGGATAATGCCAGGGGACGGCAGGGATAGGAACGGGATATAGCTGGGATAACATTGGGATAGAAACGGGATAAAACTGGGATACAACCAGGATAACACTGGGATACAGCAGGGATAGAAACACACTGGATAAAACCAGGATAAGGCAGGGATACACCTGGGATACACCTGGGATACACCTGGGATCCCACTGGGATGGACTGGGGACACGGGGGGGTCCCGGCCCCCCGGCAGCGGCGCTTCCTTGGATTTATCCCGTTCCAGGGGCTTGTTTTCCCTGGGGGGGGTGTGTTATCCTGTGACAGGGTTCCGGATTTTTGTAGGCAAAAAAATAGGAATAAATGGAAGTTTTGGCGGAGGGGGAAGTGCGAGGTTTGTTTGGGGTGGGCGGTGGGAGACCCTACAGTAAACACGGGGGGTGGGGTCAGTGTTTTCCGGGGGATCCTAAACAAGGGAGGGTGTGGGATTCCCTGTTTTCCTGGGATTCTCTGTTTTCCAGGAGACCCTACAATAAACACGGGGTGTGGGAGCCCCCGTTTTCCCAGAGATCCTACAGGAAGCGTGGGGTGTTTTTTTGAGGAGACCCTACAATAAACAGGGGCTGTGTGGGATCCCCTATTTTCCAGGGGACCCTACAATAAACGGGGGTTACTCTCCCGTTTTCCAGGAGACCCTACAGTAAACACAGGGCGTGTGGGATTCCCTGTATTCCAGGAGACCCTACAATAAACAAGGGGGTTACTCTCCCGTTTTCCAGGAGACCCTACAGTAAACACAGGGCGTGCGGGACCCCCTGTATTCCAGGAGACCCTACAATAAACACACCTTTCATTCCCAGCTGCTCCAAACCCTCCAAACGTGATCCGGGGAGGAAAAACACTCCCGGGAATCTGGGGGGGGCCTGGGAATTCCCCCCGAGGTTCCACCCGTCCCGGCGCATCCCGGGCAGGTTTTGGGGTGCGCGGGGGCCCCCCCGGGGCCGGGGTGGGGCCCCCCCGGGGCTGGCCGGGCCCGATAAGTGCCGGGCTCTGGGATATGTGATCCAGCCCCTCCCCGGCGCAGAATAAATCGCTGATCTCATGCCCTGCGCGGCCGGAGCCCTTTGGCTCAGCCCCGGGACTCGCTCCAGGCAGGATCCGGTACCGGGGGGAGGCACCGCGGGGGGCGGGGGGCGCGGAATTCCCACCGGGACAAGGGATTTGGGGGGATTGGGGCCGTCGGGAGCCGCGTTTTCCCGGGGGAGCTCCCACCCTGCAGCCCCTCCCCGGGGGGCTCGGGGCCACCTCGGGGATCTTTGGGGAGGCACCTTGGAGTGCCCCCAGTTCCCAAATCCCAAATCCCGCTTCTGGAGGGCATGGTATTCCCACTGGGATGTGGGATTTGGGAGGGCTGGGTCCGTTGGCAGCTGCATTCCCAGGATCTCCCACCTGGTGGGATCACTCAGGGGGGGTTCCTGGCCCCCCTCGGCTCTGTCCCACCTTCGGGGGGGTTTGGGGCAGCACCTTGGGCCCCTCTCCCAACGCAAATCCCAAATCCCGCATCCCAAACCCCAAACGATACCAGTTCCTGGGGTCTCCTGCAGCAGCTCTGGCAGCCCGGGGGGGGCCGGGCCCTCCCAGGTGTGTCCCCTCTGATTTTGAGGACGAAGGTGGGGGGGACACACCCCTCAATTTGGGTCCTTTTTTGGTGGGGGCACAACCCAAGTGTTGGGGATTCACGTCCTCGGCCTTTCCCTCTCCTGCTTCCCAGGGATTTTGGTGGGGCCGGAGGGGGAATCCAGGTGGTGCTGATTTGGGATGAGCCCCCTCAGGCAATGGTGGGGGGTCCCTTGGGGGGTGGGACTCAATTTTCCCCGAGCAAAGCCCCCCAGGCCCCCCACTCGGGACCCCCCAATCCAGCGGGGACCCAATTCCAGGAGGGTGGTGGCACAAGGGAGGGTCACCGTGACCGTCACACAAGGGGAGGGGGTGTCCCCACAGCACAAGGGGGGTCCCCCCAACCCCTAAACCCCCCGTTCCCCCCCCCAGGAACCCCCCCAGCCATGACCTCGTACCGGGAGGAGCTGGAGAAGTACCGGGACATCGACGAGGACAAAATCCTGCAGGAATTGTCCCCCGAGGAACTGGCCCAGCTGGACATGGAGCTGATGGAGATGGACCCCGAGGTGGGCTCGGGGACAGCTCGGGGGCGACCCTGGGGACACCGGGGACCCCCGTGGGTGACACGATGGGTTGTGTCCCCCCCTTCCAGAACGTGCTGCTGCCGGCAGGGCTCCGGCAGCGGGACCAGACCCAGAAGAGCCCCACGGGCCCCCTGGATCGGGAAGCGCTGCTGCAGCACCTGGAAAAGCAGGCGCTGGAAGCCGAGGAGCGCCAGGACCTGGTGCCCTTCACCGGCGAGAAGAAAGGTGTGGGGACCCCCGGGGGACACGGGGGACAGGGGGGACATGGCGGCAGGGACAGGGGGGTCGGGTATATTTAGCTCGGCCTGGCCGGCGGGGTCGGGTGTCCCGGGCGAGCTGGGCCCCCGCCAGCCCCGGGCAATGTCACCCCCCTGTGCCAGCCCCGGGCA